TGACCATTGCCTTTATGTAACTATCTAGTCTAACTAAATTTGCAGACCATTCACTTCCCTAATTGAATTTCTACTGTTTCATAACTCCTTGTTTTCTGTCCTTCAGGCAGTTTCTAGAAGAGCAACTTTGCATGAAATGATTAGAGACTACAAACAAGCTGCTGCTGATCTCCAGAGACTTTTGCCCCTTCATCAGAAGCAATCTGCGGAAAAATCAAAACAATCTGGTTCTGGAAATGGGAAGGAGTTAAGGCAATTACAGCAGCGGCTTTACCTGATGGAGGAAGAAGCAAAAAGAGATACCCCATTGGACCTTTACCTTATTTTGTGAGTAACTGATTTTAAGCTCCTCTATTTGGGGTGTGGTTGAGATGGGGTATAGAATTGTTTCATTAACTAATGATTCGTAATGGCCTCAAATTACTGCAAACTTTTTGTTTTTGAAGAAAAATTGCTGCTAGTGCTTACACAAAATAACAGGATTTTGGAGAGGGAAAGATTGATTTTTGATTGCAAAAGTTATAGCTTTTTACAAACTAGTAGCTTTAGGCTACCACTCTCCTAGTTAGTCTCCAACTTTTATCTCACCCATTACCTCCCTAATCCTTTCTCATTCTCTCTAATTATGTACATGGTTTCAATCCCTAGGATGATTCTTCAAACCTATGTTACTTGGACTCGGATGAAGTGTCAAATTAGACACGGGTGTCCAAGCATCGGACTCGTCCATTTTCTTGGAAAAAGTTGTGTTTTTAGTTAAAAATGAAGTGTCCAAGTGTCGGTGTCCGACACGTGTCGTGTCGACACGGACACGTGAGGTAAATGAAAGAGTCCGAGTAACATAGCTTCAAACATAATTGCTAGATAAAAGCAACACGTAACATGTTGCTTTTGCCAGTCAAATTCTCTGTCTCAGTTGACAAAATTGTTTTTGCATCTTGTTGCCCATTCTGTCTCAATTGTTAATTTCAATTCCAGGGGAGTTAAAAAATCTGATACAGTTTCTGAAATCAAGAAGGCTTACAGGAAGGCAGCACTTAGACATCACCCTGACAAGGTACAGCAATTTCTGCTTGTTTGATTCTGTTGTTATGAACCTGGGAATTTTGTATATGAAAAAAGCATGTATTTGGTATGTTAAACGAGTCTATTCTTGTATAGCTAATCCTGGCCTTAGCATCTTTCACTTGATCGATGAGATACTACTTAACCAATGAGATACTATTCAATGAAAATGTTGGCTTACTGATATCCTGAATGCATGCAGGCTGCTCAGTCCCTAGTAAAAAGTGGTGAAGTTGGAGAAGAAGGGCGTCACTGGAAGGACATTGCAGATTTGGTTCATAAGGATTCAGATAGACTGTTTAAAATGATTGGTGAGGCATATGCTGTGCTATCAGATCCAACAAAGGTAATTCTGGTTTTATCTTAATAATCCCTCCAGTTTTGAGTTCTGACGACCTAGCATGTGGTATTTCATGTATTTTAAAAAATAGAATACGAAATTTTACATCAAATTCAGTAACAATTGTTTGGGCTTAAATTGTTTATGCATGTCAAATTAGAATATATTGTTATTTATAATGATTAGATTTACCTCGACGCGATGAGATCGATGAATGAAATTTTTGGGATAATAACTAATTTTGTGATGATATCTAAGAGTGTAAATCTTCAGAAAAGTAGTGTTCCATCACGGAGTCAACATTTTATTTATCCTGGTTTTTGTTTCTACTTTTTCTCTTATCTTTGGGCCACATACTAATTGTTAACTTAAACTGGGATTGGGGGGGGGGGGGAGTAATATTTATCATTGTTCAGAAATTTGTTTATCTTTAATCATGAAATCAATAAGTAACCCAAAAACTGTCTCATTTTATATACATCCCAAATCGATAAGGAACTAAGGATAGAGATTTCAGATTTGTGCCTTGGAGCCAATGTTACACAACACTAAATGCTTGACATCCCTTGGTCACAAGACCTAAAATTGGTTCGACCAATCGATGCAATTTCATTATATGTTGTTTGCATATTTACTATTCTTCTCTAGGCTAGCATGTAATTGCCCTTCAGTGGTTCAGCCTCTCAAACGACCTCTTTTCTTTTTTCATATTTCAGCGTGAAGAGTATGATGATGAAGAGGATATGAGAAAAGCGCTCAAGGAGAACAGTAATATTAGAACTAATTCTAGGAGATACTCTGAGCATTATAGTCAAGGCTATCCATTTGAGAGGAGTAGCAGCAGGCGCTATTGGCAAGATAGTTATAAAACTTACACCCACTCATATAGAAGATAGCCATGATATGGCATGTGGACTAATTGAGCTTTTCGACCGAGGATGGAGAGCTGGTTTTTTCTTTGGCACTCTCCAAGAATTTCAATGTGGTTTTCTGGTTGGCAACTAGAGGTCTGCTGGTCAGTGGGAAAAGAGCATGAGAATGTAACGTGCTATGAAAGATTCAAAAGTCTTCATATTGCAAGTTGGAGGTAAGTAAGTGACACTGACCTTCGTCAGGTTTGGTTCGTGGCCCCACGTGCTTTTGGGGTTTGGTTCATCTTGTTTATGGAAGCTCAAGCTCGCATTGGTATGGTTGTAGAACTTGAGCAAATAAATAAACATGGTCTGTCATTGGAAAGTTAACATAGAAGCAAAGCAGATGGTTGGCTGAGGTATTTTTATCACGAAGACCAAGGGCATCTCAATTTCAAGAAAACGAAATGTGCAAAGACATTCAAGGCGGTAGTTTTGGTCGAGATAGGGAATAAAGCTGTGACTCTGTGAGCCTGCTGTGCCAATTGTTTGCTGGTATAGAATTTAAGCATGTAAAATGTGCATCTTTGATGTGAGTTTTACATATGTATTAATGTAACCCACGTCTTTGATGTGTACTGAGGGATACATTTCTATCGTATTCGCCATACATAGTTATTGGAGAATCAAAATTTATGCAAATCAAGTAAGATACTCGAAAGTGTAGTTTACTAATTTGTTAACCAATTTTTATTCTCAACCTACATAAAATAAAATGTATATTTCATTGAAACTTATAAAATGTATAGAATGAAGGAAAAATTGTAAATATTATGACCTTTTAGCAATCCGCTCAAAATATAACAACCTTTGAATTAGGAAATTTTAGAAAATAACACCTAAAAAACGCAAAAAAAATTTTTTAACACCACAAATTTTCAAAGTTTTATTATAACACCACTTAAAAAAAATAATTTTTGGTTTCACCACCTAAATGGTTAAGACGTTAGAGAAACTGTTTGTTGGGCCCACTCCAACGACTATTTTGTTCAAACTCTTCTATATAGTTTCGATATCCTTCAAACGCATTCAACTGATGATTTGTTTACACAAAATTAGGGCTCAAATTTTGCAATCAACAATCAAACTTAGCAAACTGTTTGATTTAATCATCAAGTTTCGGTGGGAGGAAGATTTGAATTCAGGTAATTGCGTCAATAGGATTGCAGAAAACCCTAATTTTTTCGAGGTTTGTTAAATGTTACGAAAATCAGTCCATGTTGTTGAACTAGTGCATAATTCAGTTCGCATGTGTAAGTAATTATATAATTCGTACTTATTTCATGAAGTATATGTGTTAATTGTCATGGTAATTGCGAAAAATTAAAGTTAGGGTTCATCGGAAAACTGAATTGGGGGTTTTGATTTTTAGGACTGATTGTTTAATTTCCTTGGCTCATTTGTTGGGGTTTATCATAGTATGAATGGTTTATCTTATTGTGGATGGCATATTGATGCAGATGTCTTTCATAAGTTCCTCTCCTTCAACAAAGAAGAAGTGCAAGTGTGGTGTACCCTTTGCGAAGCTCACAAGTTGGACAAGGGAGAAACCAGGTCGAAAGTTTAGAACTTGCAAGTTCTATGATCCTGTAACTGAGAGCAGGGGTTGCAAAGCATTTGAATGGATTGATGAACCTGATGGGACAGCCTGGCAAACTGAGGTGATCAACAATTTGTTGTTAGACAAGAAGTTGAACTTGGTGGACAGATGAGGTGTTTGCTCAATGAAGTGGACAACCTGAATATGAAATGCAAGGCTTTGAATTCAGATAGGAAGAAGATGAATAGAGAGATGCATGGGAGAAATGGATCATTAGAGCACCCTTTTTTGTGTGTTGCTTTTGGGATTACTGTAGTCATGTTAGTCATGGTTATTATTGGGGGGTTTGTAATGTTTAAAATGTAATGTGTCCAATGGAATGAATAATAGTAGTAATGCTTGTGTAATGCTTTAATAGTGGCATAGAACCACTTTTGCAATGTAATGCAAACAATATTTTGGTTGGAATCAATAAAACAAGTATTTTAGTAAACTTGTAATTGCATTAACACCAAATATGAACCACAGTATTAGTTGATCAAAATAAGATTACTAGAAGCCTAACACCAAAAGTATGAGTTCAAAAAACAACCTCTAACTGTTATACTTAGGCTACTACATGCTAATGTTCAAATAAACAACCTAAAAGTCTAGTCTAGTTTAGAAACTGGAAACAACTACAGGCTCAGGCTCATTGAGTCAAATCTGCTTCTTTGAAAGTCTTCGGCTTGGATCTCCTTGTCTGCACTCCAGCATTCTGCACTGTTTCTCTGTTTATGGTTTCAGGTTGACTGAAGGATGGGGTGGTATGCTGGTTGGACTTTGGAGGGGCTTTCCTCTTGCTGAGTGGCTCAAAGCCTGGTTGCTCTTGGGGAAAAGTCTTATTCCCAACGTTGTTTGGACCAGCCCCTACTGCACTCTGTGGATAGCACAAAAAAAAAAAGTTAATTACAACACTTAGTATATGCTTTAAAAAATCAAACAAAAATGAACAAGTGCCAAACAATACATTAGCTGCTTTAATCTCACTCTTCTTCCTCTACTCTACAACCCATGGTGAGTTTAAACGTGGTCTCCCTGCAGCTTTTTCCTCAGTTAGTTCTGGTATAGTAGGAAGCTTACAAGTCTTGGCATAGTGTCCAAGTCAACCACAATTTCTGCACTGGTTTTTCCTTTTCTGTCCACCCTGTTGCCCCCTTGATGCAGAAGTACCCTCACCAGGTTCCAACTTTCTTTTCTTCAACTTAGGCCTCCCAGGCTGCACCTTGATGGCTTGTGGATGAGGCTCCCTCATGTTTACTCTGTCCCAGTGCTTTGGCCCTGGCATGGGTTGAATTGCAAGCTCATATGCTGCTCTATAGGTGGCCATACTGTAATAGGGGTGGACATATTGCTCAACATCAGCTCTTTGATCCATTATGCATGCAAAGGCATGAATACATGGGAGGCCTGTCAACTGCCAATGGTTGCAGGAACAACTCCTATTTCCCAAGTCAACTAGAACCTGGTCATCCTTTAGTTGCATTTCATAAGTGTTATCTCTTGCAGCTTGAATAATGCAATTCCTAGACACATAGCTCATCCTTTGAAAGAGTTTATGAGCATATGGAGTCAAGTTGGTTGTGATTACCTTGGAATCCTCCCACTTCTCATTGTTTCTACTCATCATGTACCTCCTCATCCATTCCATTTGGGTGAGGATAGGTTTGTCTCTGGCATCTCTAAAAACTGCATTGAAAGTCTCACACATGTTGTTTAGCAACATGTTGGACCTGCAGTTCTCACTAAATGCATGTCTGCACCAGTGCACAGTGGGGATTTTGTTCAAGTAATCAAAAGCCTCCTCATCAAGCTCCTTAATCTGCTGCATTGGTATTTCAAATTCAAGCTACACAAACAAAATAGGAACATAGACCTAGTCAACTACTTAAATTTGTACATCATAATTCAAGCTAGACATAAATCAAGCTACACATACATCACTCCAAAATAAATCAAGCTACACATACATTAGTAGCACAAATTAAAAAAGAAAAGTACCCAAAAAAAATAGAGGATAAAACCTACTATCCAACCCACTTCTTGTTCTACACATAACAAAACCACAACCACCTTTCATACTATTAGCTACACCATTTCATACATAAGTTGTTCAAAACAGTGTAAAGAACAGACTTACTTGTGTTGTTGCTCTTGCAGCATTCCAAAATAACTCCTTGAAAACAGATCCAGTGAACTTCAGTTTGAAGCTTGCCCAAATATGCCTAACACATAATCTAGTTTCTGCTTCTGGCACAACTTGAGAAAATGCTTCTACCAGTCCCTATTTAACACAATCCAAACACATGTGTCTTACTCTAAACAATTAATGATAGGACAACAACATAATCAATTCAAAAAACAAGAGCATTATACCTTTTGCCTGTCTGACATGAAGGTGAAACCTGACCCATATGCACTCCCAAGGGTCTGCATCAGTGATTCTAGGAACCAAATCCATGTTCCCTTGTTTTCAGCCTCACATGTTGCCCAAGCAATAGGGTAAATTTTGTTGTTCCCATCTTTGGACACAGCTACTAAAATCTTCCCTGGATAAGCACCTTTCAAGTGGCAGCCATCCACCCCAATGTATGATTGGCCAACAACCCCTCAAGAAACCATCTTTCAAAGACCTTAAACACACAAACATTCTCAAAAACAGGGGAGCCTCAGGCTGCTCAATCCCATCTACAACCACATTACAACCATAACTAGGGTTGTGTTTCATTAGGGCTTTGCCATAGTCCCAGACCCTTGCATACTGCTCTCTTGCACTTCCAAAAATTATCAACTTAGCTCTACATCTAGCCATCCAAGCTCTAAAATAAGTAACTTGAACCCCTAGGTCCTGAAGTACCCTATCCCTGATCTTCTTAACCTTCCAAGTTGGGTTGCTTCTGAAATCTTCAAGGTACCTCTCAGCAATGTACTCTGCAGTGACCTTCTTATTCTCCCTGCTTCTCACACAGTTGTGCTTTAACCTCATGCTTTTAATTTGTCAAGTCTGTTGTCTAACTAACTTCCTAGCATGAATCTTGAAGTTGCACCTTACTCCACCCTTGCATATACACATAGGCATCCTACTTGTCTTTGTGTCAAACTTACAGCCACATCTGTGCCTACACTGAATAGTAATCCTACTACTGTCATTGTGTAAAAAGTAGTATCCATACCTATTCTCTATGGCATGTACTCTAAGAGCTCTCCTCAACACTACAACACTATTGAACTTCAGTCTATTAACAAGAACAATAGCTTTAGTGAAGTCAGTTTTCTCATCAAACCAAGGACTTTTGTCCTCTTCATCTGATGAACCATCCAAACTCCTTAGCTCATCTGATTCTCCCTCAAGCTCTTCTTGCAGTTGAACCTCACTGACATCTAAGTTAGTTCTCAGTCAAAGTTGCCCTAGGATCCTTTACAATCCCTTATCATATACATCAAACTTATTCCCAAGACTTTTTGTTACCTTCTGGAATATCTCTTTAGAATTCTGTATAAACCACCTTTCATCCCCACTATCATACTCCTCCTCACCAGGCTCCTAAGTTATGTCAATTTCACCCCTGTTAGTAGAAGAATAGCCTTCCTCACTCCCAAATTCATTGACCTCATTGATTTCATCAGATCAAACACCAGTCCCTTAGCTACAGATTTGTTTCTCCCCTTCCCCTTATCCAACACCTTCCCACTGCCAGAATCCCTGTTAACCTTAACTTTACCTTTCCCCTTATCTAACAGCTTCCCCCTACTAGAAACCCTCTCACTCTTTAAAGGAACCCCTTCATTATTTCCTATCCCCTTACCCTTCTCATTTGTAGATCTAGGTTTAGGATTCTCTATTAAAATCACATCAGGATTAGTTTTGTGCAGTCTTGGGCTCTTCCTAGCTGGAATAGGTCCTGTAATTTTCTTCCTTTTTCCCTCAGCCTTTTTTGGAGTGGATTGGGTCTCATGTATGAGCCTTAATGTCTCATCTGCAGTCACAAAGACTTCCACATACCCTTCCCCATTCACTGACTCTAACAACCCCTTCACTTCCTCCTCATTTACTAGCTCCCTCCTCCCTATGTTAAAGGTCCTCCCTCTTTGTTTATACCACAGTCTGTAGTTTGGAGGTACATGAACATTAAAATACACAAACCCATGCACAGCTGTTTCCTTCAAATAATGGACATCTATCTTGTCCACTACCACATCCCTTCTCCAATAACATAACCCCTCACACCAGCAAAGCAAATTTTTGGTGTTGGACATGTAGGAGTTTATAGGTACTACGCAACGGAAAAACATGAATCATATTCACACAGTACCTAATCCCAAGATCTAATGCATAACACATAAAGAACATATAATCGTACCTTTGAAGCGAGATTCCACGTGCGATCGAGCAAGAACATTGGGAGATAAAGAACCTCAAGTGTGATTCCTCTACTTGGTCCACGGGCACAGATTAAGACCTCCACTAATGCTAGTTAGTTGCAATTGAACCCTTCAATTGACCTTCTATGGAGAAGTGCGAGCAACGATTCACCACGAACCACCACACACGCCACCAAGGTGGTCGGCCGTACGGACGAGGGGAGGAGAGAGAAAACCGTGAGTTAGAGAGAGGAATTAGGGTTTTGGGATTGGTTTCCTTGATGTCAAAATACACTATGTTGTTTCAAAGAATACTACAAGAAGGGGGGTTGAATTGTAGTATGAGAGATTAGCTAAGCTTTTTACGGAATTAAAATTAAGTTAGCTAAAGGAACTGAAAGATTAACTAAAGGAACTAAAGAATGCAAGAGAGATTTTATGTGGAAAACTCCTTGGCCCTAACAAGGAGAAAAACCACGACCACTTGGGATTTTGGGAAAAGAATCTTCACTATAATAGGGCAAATTATCCTATTACAAGCTAAAGACTCAAACTCAAGTTCCTCTATGAACTTAAGACCCTGAGGAACAAGTCACCCAGCTTGTTACTCTTCTCTTCTCTTTCTCTCTTCTCACTTCTCTGTTCTCTGTTCTCTTTCTCTTCTCTTCCTCACTTCTCTTTCTTAAACACAAACGTTCACTCGAACTTCCCCATTCCCCAAATTACAACTCGAAAGATAAACAAACTCTAGTATAAGAACATTAAGAAAACTCTAATGAACTTGTGTGGAATTGACACTTGACTCGATTTGAAGCTTGAAAACTTATGTGAGCAAGGGTGAGTTTTTTCAACAGAAATTAATGGCTATTTATAGATCAATAAACGCTTTGGAAAATTCTCTTTGTGCAGAAATTCCATTACGCCACTACTCATACCCACCAAGAAGATCATGTCCCTATAATTAAGGAACCATGAACTCCTTAATGTGCAAACCCATGACTGAAGAAGAACATGGGAGAGTAGGACGCAAGTTTTGGAAAACATGGGAGATTTTATTTTGTAAAAGATATTTTCCGAAAATCAGAAAAAGAAATAAAATAAAATCTTTTTATCTTGAGAAAAAGATAAACGTTTAAATGATAACAGTTTTCCTAAAACTAGCATGCACATATTTCATCTTTTAGACCAATTCCACACAGATTTTTCGAGTGCTATTTAATATCTTATACTTACATAAATCCTAAAATATAAAAATATATTTAGTCTTCATGTTCTCTGATGAAGCTTCTACTCCGAGACTTCTGTTCCTTGGGAGGAACTTCTCTTCTCTGATGAGGCTTCTTCTCTGAAGCTTCTGTTCCCTAAGGGAACCTTCTCTTCTCCAGTCTTCATTTTTGAAGCGCCAGTTCCTGTGTGGGAACTCTTCTATAAGGATAGCTCTGCTTCTGGCCTTCTTGTTCCTCATGGTATTTTTACAAGACCCTTTATTCTCCTAGTCTTTGTAACTGAGTACACACTTAAACAATCAAGCACTTATTAGTTTGTAAGTAAGTGAGGTTGTGTCATCATCAAAATCATTAAGTCCAACACACTGTGTGTGAATTATGACTACTTGGATGCAACCCTAGGCATGGATCTTATTTATAGATCTCATCTCTAAATAAGAGCCTATGTCAAAAGCCCAAAACCTAATTCTAATCTAACTATGCTAGCCCAATCCATTTCATGATTAGTTAATTGCTCATGAGACCCATTAATGGGCCTCTAACTTGCTTAACCCTATACCCTTGTGTGTGACCTCATAGGATCCATTCTAGCGGGTTTTGGACTATTTGACTAGTCCAAAGATCATCTCTCATAGTCTAGCAATAGATGATGACGCCCCAAGAGAACGAACTTATTATCTCCATAATAGTGATCCTTGATATATCTAGTAATTGCACTTATCGAAGACACAACTCCTTCAATCTCCCACTTGTCTGAGACAAGTGCGCAATATTCAAATTCCTTAAGTTAATGTGTGTCGATTTGATAATATGATTGCATCTCATGTCGTGATCATATTAGTCTACAAATCTTTTCTTGAAAAACTAAGTTAGATTCACAGAACAAATGATTACTATGTAATGCATTTGAGCACGACCATGCATTTTCTGAATTCTCCCTCTTCAAGGGGCCAAGACACATTCCTAATTAAATAGGTAGACTCAATCCAATCTTGTGGCAACCAAAGCTCCTTCTCAACTTTTGAAGTAACCGGGAAACATCCTTTATAATCTCCAGTTACGGGCAGACGTTTGAATGTACCACAGTCAAATCATCCATTGAATGGAATCAATGTTCCACTCATGTGAAAGGAATCCACTAATATATCCGAAAGCTCTATACTTGAAATTCAAAGTAGGTCTATAGTTCGATCACGCATCATTCACGTATACCCATGTGATTGACCGAGCTTCACTACGTTCCTATAGCCCATGAAACTGCGTTATCCAATCAATCTTAACATGCTAGTCCATTAATTGAAATCATTTATGTCCAATTTAATGATTTTGAATTAGGAACTTAAATAATATATGAATTTAGTTCACCTGTGGGGTTTCATTCACCAGGTCATCAACCTGATGAGCCCATCAATTCATAATTATTTTGGACATTTTATTTAATCTTGAAACCACGATTAAATAAGATTGAAACTTTGTTTCAATTGATAAACATAATTCTGCAAATGAATGTATTACACATGTAACTTGTTTTTCCCCAAAAACAAATACAACTCCTAATTACATCATTTTCCTCAATCCAATTTTATTAGCATGTTTCTCATGCTTTGGAAATGGAAGGGGTTTAGTAAGTAGAGTTCATGAGACATTCTCATAGACATGAACTTTGCAATTTCTAAATCTTATAATCATTTTCATCTCCATACACTAAGAATTTTCTTTCGCCTTTTCGCAAGGAACCCTGGAATTTCTAATTTGTATTCCAAATTCAAATTGGATTTCAATTGTAATCTATTATCACTTGTTTTTTTAAACGCGTGAATCAGATAGACGAGTATAGTCCATGACATGCATGATGCATCTTTTGCATATTGCATGAGTATCATCACTCAAAACCTTAATTTCATCAACTTTTCTCAAAGCATTGAATCATTAATCAACGTGTCATGTTACATGGGATTGAAACTCCTTTCAATATAATGTTGAACCTTATAAGAATCTTATCAATGTAAGCTTCTTAACCAAACTCAAACATCCTTCGAGACCTATCTCTATAGATCTTGAATCCCAAATGTACTCATCATCCTCTTCAAGGTTTTTCATACAAAATGCACTACCCACCACTTGACTCTTCAAGAAATGAATAATTTTCTCTTTATACTAGACCAAGAAGACTTCATAGCTCCCACAAAACATCTTGTACACACAAGACCTTTTCTTCATTTTACGAGAACATCAAACGATTTGATTTACTCACAAAATTAAGAACACTAACTCCATTATGCTATGCATCCGTAGGATTATTGGATCTTCAAACTTTTGATTGTATCATATACAAATCTTCTTTCACGAACAATTTCAATAAAGTGTTTTGAAGTCCATCTACCAAATCTTATAAGGT